CATGCATACACACACACACACATGCACACCGAGACATATCTGGTGTTGTTTGACAACTCGAGCCGAGAATCAGATCATAAAACATGACCGCACCGTTCACGGCGACGTCCACGCGGTCAATATTATCCTGCTTGTTGGCATCGAAAACCTTGGGAAGGAGTTCGCCGTTCTTGCTTAGCAACTTAAGTTTCAGTCACGATAAGCAGCTGAGCAGATCTTTAGTGTATTTTTTTGCAGATCACTATTAGGGTGTTTTACGAGATTAATAACTCAAGAAGGCCCTTAACTTCACAAACCCTAAACCCTAAACCCTAGACCCTAAACCCTATACCCTAATCTCAAAACCCTAAACCGGCCATGGTGTGGGAGTTGGGTTGGGGTTTCGGGGTCTCCGTAGGGACGCCTTGCAACAAGCGCTTCGAAGCGGCACCTTAGTCTAAAAGGGATCGGCTCTATGGTGGCCGGAAGGAATAATAATATCTAGGGTTTAGGGTTTAGAGTTTAGGGTTTAGGGTTTAGGGTTTAGAGTTTAGGGTTTTGGGCTTAGGGTTTAGGATTTAGGGTTTTGGGTTTAGAGTTTTGGGTTTAGGGGGAAGGAATAATATAGGGTCTTTGGGTGAAACTTGTATTCCACAAACATTAAACCCTAGGCCCTACTAAGCATGTTGAGGAGCCCTAGGGACGTTTAGGACCTATCGTGAAGCGTTCATTTGAGGTCTAGGGTTCATGCATTTTTCGCTGGTTCCAGGCATCTCTGAATGAGTACATGGCGCGTCCTAAGCTATGAAGTAGACCTAGGCTATGAAATAGACCTAAATCGCAAGCCGTCTTGAGATTGTAAGCAGGTAGGTCCTGTCCTTAAGGTCCGAACCTCAATGTCGAGCTTGGAAAACTAATGATAGTATTCACGCCTAGTGTCTTTGATTCATAGCCATAGAGAGTCCCACCTGGACTCTCTTTAGACCGAGCGGGCAGAGCTGCTGAAATGTTACGTGATTGCAGTTGCGATAGCTGCATCTGGGTATAGCAGCTACAGGCTACTGTAAGATAGCAGAAGCAGAGTTGCCAAGTCAAAAGAGATTCCAAGTACATATCATAAACCTAAACCCTATACCCTAAACCCTCAAGTCCTAATAACCTGACCCTGACCCCTGCAACTGTCAACCCTGAAGCCCTACACTCTTGCCTTAAACCCTAAACCCTGAAAACCCGAACCCTAAAACCATAAACCCTCAAACCCTAAACCCTAGGCCCTCAAACCCTGAACCCTATGCCCTAAACCCTAAGCCCTCAAACGCTAAGCCCTCACACGCGGAGCCCTCAAACCACCCCAAACCCTAATGAATCCTAAGCCCTCAAGCGCCCCGAATGCCAGGCTTCGTAATAGTTAGAACGGGTTTTGGGGGTATAATATGCTATACTATACTGCACCATACTTTTCTTTTCTAATTCGGTTTTGGGGACTTAGGGTGTCTTTCTTGGGTTTGGGGTTGAGGGGAGGGTGTTGGGTGTATACTATACTATAAGTTATAGCAAGAAACCTGGTGACGAGGGGTTTAGGGTTTAGGCTTTTGGTTTTGGTAGTGTAAGGGCCTTAATGATTAGAATAGGGTTTTGTATACTAAACCCCCTAAACCCGAACGTTATAGGCTTCGCAGAGGTGCCAGCGACTTCTTCGGGCGACAGTCCGAGGGCAACGTCGCTGCGTGCGTCGTCGAACCTGCTCCCGGAAAGAGGGTCTCTCTTTAGGGTTTTATAGGGTTTAGGGAGTAGGGCTTATAGGGTTTATAGGGTTTAGGGTTTAGGGGTTACATTTACCCTCAAAGGACTCACAAAGACCCTGTGACATAAGTCTATTTGGGCTATTTTGATACTAAGGGTTGGGGTCTATAGGGCTTCTTTATGGTCCAGGGTTTAGGGTTCTATAGGGCTTCTTTATGGTTTACGGTTTCGGGTTTATACCTGGGACTCTAATTACCTACAGTTTGATGGAAACTATTACCTACAGTTTGATGGAAACTATCTTTTATCTACTAATTGAGGGGTAACGGCTGCTAAGGAGGGCTTCTTTCAGGTTAGGGGTTTAGGGTTTATAGGGGGTGTTTACGGTTCGGGGTTTAGGCCGCAGGGAGGCTTTTTATAGGGTTTTATGTGTTCGGAAGAGGTTTTGTGGGTTTTTGTGCAGGGATGTGCATTGGTTGCAAGAGCGCATACAAAAAATCTGAAAGTCGATGTGCTTGCATACATCAATAAGGCTGCTTTAATTGCTTGATTATTGAATAACTGTGGAGTCTCGTGGTTTCACGGTGAGCCTTTCTGTTTCTTCGGCCAGCGACTACGACTCGTTCAATCTGAGATTTCACACAGTTTGGGGTTTTAGGGTTTGGGGTTTAGAGTTTGGGGTACAAGTGTTGTGCAGTCGGTTTTGCTTGCCCGAAGCGCAGGTACCGAAGGCTTGCGTGATTGCAGCCTTGGGCTGGTTTAGGGTTAACAGGGCGCGCCGCCGGGTTCGACTGCTATAGAGGCTTGAGCGGCTGCGGATGGAAGAGTTTTGGGTAGCAGGGGCGTCTCACAGATGCCCGCAATCTTGAAGCATCTAAATGCAGACCCCAAAAGTATGTAGAATAATAGCCTTTTATGGGTATTGGGCCATTATTTTACCTACTTTTGGGGGTTTAGGTAAATGCAGACCCCATGTATAAGGGCAGCATGCCTGATTGGAATGCATGACTGCGCGTCTCTTTGCTGGGGCGCCTTTCTTGATCAAGCCCTCAAGGAAGCAGATGCCGTTGACCACGCGATACTTCGCAGGGGCGTATCCTTTGCCGTAGTTGCTCCAACCATTCCTGAGCTCGATCAGGGCAGCAGTCCTAATCCTAAACCTCTAGTACTCTTAAGTCGCGAAGCCTCACACAATCAAAAACAGGCAGCACCAAGTCAAGGGCACCACTCATGTGGCTACCAATCCCAGACTCTCTAGATAGAATCCCCAAAACGGTGTCCTACCTCCTACCCTTAGATGGGTCAAGAAAAGCCTGTGTTAAGGGGCTCTACTGTCCGGTTGATGATATAAATCCTGCATTACCTTAGCGAGCCTAAACCATGGGAATTATGGTATTCCTTACTATGGCTAATAAGGAATATACCATAATTCCAATAGTTTAGGGTCCTTAAGGTAATTTACAGTAGAAGCCCAAAAGTTGGAAACCCAATAGCCTCAATCCTTAAGAGTAATTTATAGGGAATCCCAGCACTATTTGTCCTTAATCCGGTTTCCAACTTTTTGGGGTTCACTATAGTGTCCTTTACCCAGACCCCCGGGAGGATCTAAAAAGTAGATCCCCTAATTTGGGACCCTTTTCCAACTTTTTGGGGCTTACTATAATGCAGGATTTAGATCATCAACCGTAGTTCTTTGTCCTCTCGGTCTGGGCCATGGGAGCCCTCTGACTGGGCTTTGGATTTCCGGCTCGGATTTAGGGCTTTAGGGTTTTAGGGTTTTAGGGTTTTAGGGGCTTTAGGGTTTTAGGGCTTTAGGGTTTTAGGGTTTAGGGTTTAGGGTTTTAGGGTTTAGGGTTTAGGCATTTTGCTGCAACTTGGGCAGGCCCGCCATGCCTTGCAGGACGAGCCTCTTCACAAGGAAGCAGCGGCTTTGATATGCCCAATGCTAATTGCCGACCTGGTTCCCTGTTAGGATATATTAAAAATGATCGCCGTATTGGGTTTTATTATAACCCTATGCTTCCAGGGACCTTATTATTGGGTCCTTAAGGGGTCTAGGGCCCTAACTATAAGGTCCTTGGAAGCATAGGGTAACAAAAATGTAAAATCGTAGCCAACCAGGACCCGGAGACCTAAGACCCTAAACGCAAAGATTGCGGATCAACCCAGAGGGTTTCGGAACCTAACACTCATAGAGCCCCCAGAATACTCACCACCCTACAACATCAATATCCTGAAGCCGCATACCCAAGCAGTGGGCCCCTTAAGGCCCTTGTGGCAAAACCAGACAAACCTTAAGTCCCAAGCCTCTAATAAACCCTAAACCCTAAACCCTAAAACCCTAAACTCTAAAACCCTAAACCCTACAACCCTAAACCCTAAAGAATAAGCCCTTAAGCCGAAAGCAACCCAGTCTCTCGAGTGGAATGGCGTAGCCAACGGCGGTTGGCGAGAAGACGATACCGCTTAGGCTGATGAAGTGATGATTATTGCCTGGTCAAGGATCTAGGACATTTCAGGTTGGTAGTTACTGTTACAGGAGCCTTAGAGGAGGTCTATATACCTTATAGAAGCTTCATATAGAAGCCCTTTATATACCCTAAACTCCCCACCTGTAGTTTCCTTGAAAAGGAGCTTGGCAAGATTGGCAGTTGTTCGGCTTTCCTTAAGGGTTACTTGGAGTCCATGAGTCCATGAGGGATTTCGCACGATGTAGTACTTTCGGGCCCAGAGTCATAGGATTTGGGGCTGTGGTTTTTAAGGCCGAAACCAGGGGCCGAGAGGCCCACCAGAGCTTTGTAGAAACTAGAGGCTTTTCAGAAGAATGTTCACGGTCTCTTGGATCCCTCTTACAAGGTCTGCTTGGTGTTCGTGTTGTACAGGTCTGGACGGTCAAGGCTTGTAGGTCCTCAGTGGTGTCGCAAGAACATCGGAGTTTCACAGCATCCTGGTTTCAAGCCCTCAACAAGGAACAATCTCAAAACCTAGGCCCTAAACCCTAAACCCCTAAAACTCCTAAACCCCTAAACCCTAAACCCTTTTCACTCTTCGAACCCTGGTGGCTCCGGTCCTAGCCCATGTCACTGAACACATGGGACTTTCCGAAAAATTGGGACCGTATTTTGGGGTCCTTATAATAAGGATCCTATGATCCTACTATTTAGGGTACTATATTAGGGTCCCCTATTTTCGGAAACCCCCACATGATGACCCGGACGCGCTCAAGCTGTGTAACCAAGCCAATGAAGCACCAAGCCATAACCCAATGTGATGCATCGGCACTGCAGATCCTGCACTTAAGCACGGAAGCCCTTGCAGCTTATAGCCCCTCTTCACGGATCACGGGATGTAGTGCATGCGTGGTAAGATTGAAGAAGGTTTGGTGTAACAAAGGTGTTTTCGGGTATCGGCTTGGAATATAGATGCAATAAGCAAGTTTTACGTCAGACGTCAGACGTCAGGAGGCGTACAACTCAGGCCACATCTCTCTCAATCGGAGTACTACAGAGAAGATACTTGCTAAGTGCCTGGGTTCCACAACTCTTGTACAACCTCTCACACAGCGCAACTGATTAGCACCCGTCTAGAACGAGTGGAATTCTAAGCAGAGCCTACTTACCAGCGCTAGGTGCCCTGATCCCACAACTCTTATAAATCACTTATACCCGCTTCATACAACCCAAACTGATTCAATTTTAACAAATTAAACAAACTCTATGATCCCAACAACACCCGCTCAACCTTACTGAAGCTGTCCATTTCGCAGACAGCCCAATATCCTCTCCCTATAATGCAGTATATTATTATGGAGTTATGAATGCCTAAACAGTCTGCGTACTGTCTAGTATACAGAGGAAAAAGAAATTTCAGAATAGCGCTGCAGCATAAGCGCCGCTTTGACGTATATACTTAATTCGGAAATCGGGCTGCCTGGGAACATCATAAAACCCTCTATGAAAAGCCTCCAGTTCTCTATATTTCCTAAATCCGAAGCCCCTAAACCCATAACCCTGCATCCTATAGAGCCTTAGTTGCTGAGTTCATAAACACAAGAAAGTGTACACATTCAGTTCTATAAGGGATCATGTTATCCCAAGAAAGCGAAAGTGTAGCAATTCAACTACCAAGGAACCCCCAGGCCCTCTAAACCCATCTCTGCCTCCAGCTATCCACCTGATCTTCCCGTTCGACTCAACATTGACTCGCGCAGGCCTTTCTGGCTGTTAGCTAAGAGGTGTTGTCACCGTTTTCCGCTATATTCTGTGCGCATCATCTGTAGTTACTATATTAGCTGTCTTGCTAGCAGGGGTTAGCGTTTAGGCCACAAGCCTTAGGCTTTAGCTTAAGTCTCCTACTTTTGCAAAGCCTTCCAACTTGAAATATACCAAAAGAGTTTAAAGTTTACCTATTGGGCTCCGAAGGTGATGAGCCAAGGTGCTACTTTCCTTAAGGACCGAATAACCCTTAAAAGTAGGGGGCCTAGACCCATACACTATGGATCCCTATATGGTATATGAACCCTAAGCCACTTCAGGGCTCTTTTAGTCCTTAAGGTTCTAGACTGCAGAGACTCTGCAGAGCCGGGTTTCCTCTCTAACTCCCTGAACTTGGGGAGGGGGGGAGCTTGCTACGATGTTCAGAGAAGGTCCCTTTACAACAAAACCCTAAACCGCCTAAACCCCT